TATTTTGGCTCAAACCTGTTTTTATCCTAGAGGGTTGCCTGGCACACGCGACGCCCACCATGGCAGGAATCCTTCCTGGTCGCAAACGCTTTGACGCCTTTGATGCCTTGGGAGCCAAGGCTGTTGACAGACTGTACACGCAGAGCGTGACTGACCTTGCCGGGGCAAAGAACGATGCTCGAGAGGGTTTTGATGAAGCAGTTCAACAGTTAAAAGTTCATGCTCCCCCTGCCCAATCAATGATGGAGGTCCTTGAAGAAAGGACAATGGCATCAGCACAGGCAGAACAAGGGTACACATCAGGAGGCCCGGGCCGGTACTACCGAATCATGGCACAGCCAGATGCGCTTGATGCTGGTTTCGTGATGATCCCACCAGTCGGTGCGGAGCCCACTCCTCAGCAAGCAGCGGGATTCGCGATGGAGGTTAGGAGGAAGCTCGGCACACTAAGCGCACTCAATGCCACGGAGATCAAGACAGAACCTGCAGACGCGGCCCACAGGATGTTTTCTTCGGTCGAGCCATTGGCTGACGCAGCTTTGGTGAATATCGCAAATGGAACCGCAGGCACTGCGAGTCAATACGGTGCAGGCATACGTGCGTTGTGTGACCCATGTGGGTGGAACATGGGGCGGTCTACTTGAAAACTTTGAAAATGCAAGTTCCCACCCGCAGAAATCTAGAATACCGCTTTTACATACAAGGCTTATATAACCTCTTCAAAAATAAGATCAGAGTTGAATTAGAATTAGAAGTTTGCCAGAATAAGATGTAAAACGCTTGAGCTACAAGATGCACAAATTCGAGCAGGCTTCGAAATTACAAAGCCGAAGCAAAAGCAACAAGGATTGAATTAGAACTACAGCTTACACAGCAGTTTCATGTCAAGCTGATTGGACATGCATTGGCAACCACATTGGTACCAATCAGAAGTTAATGCACAGACTTGTACATGGAGATTTCGACAAGGACAAAGAGAGTGGTGGGCTCAGACGCTTTCATTGTAAGAACACAGAACATATGCCTTTAGGTGAGAACTAGGCTCGCATATTTGAAGGTGGAACGAAATAGTAAGAACACAGATTGGTCTAAATAGGAAAGCCAAAAAACCTGAAAACCTTGAGAAAACCAAAATCAACCTGGGAAAAACCAAGAACCCTTCGGAAAACCAAAAACAAAAAGCGCCAAAAAAAAAATGGGGAAGTCTTGAGGAAAGGGGGGGTCCAGCCAAGACCTGGTTTTTTTTCCTAGGTTGTTATTGGTTTTCGCTATATTTTCTCGAGACTGTTTGTGGTTGTTTTCCAGTGCAGGGGACATGGAGGCAACTTTCACAGAAACATAGCATGAATGCAGGCCACAGTGGGAAGTTTATCGCACATAGATGGAAATAGGCAGCAAAAACACATACAATACGCACTCTGGTGGTCCCGTGTTTTGTTTTCAAACGGGGTTTGAGGTACATCAAGGCAATCTGACTTCCAAAGCTTCAAGGCAAATTTGAAGCCAGCGTGAGCAAGATTGAGGGGATTGGTGGTGATTTTCTTGGTGCATTGTGGATCCAACCACGCAACTACATCCAGCAGATGCCGCAAGCCTATGCAGAGCAGATTGGATTGTACCAGCGCACCTACGCTTCTAGGGGCGGACCAACGAGCGCGAAAAGAAAGGATGAGATGGACCTTCAACCGCTGCGGCCTACGCGCACCATGTCAAACTGATTTGCGACTCCGCCTGCTGTAAGTACGTTTTGGCGCGCGGCCTAGTCAAACTCAATCCACGTCCGCAGCTCTTAATCGACCTTGGGCACAAGCATGCACAAGCCTACTCGGCTACTCCGCTCCCTAGCTGAGAACAGGAAACAGACCCTTGCTCACCGAGGCCTGAGGGACACTTTTCGGTTACATTCTGGGCATTTCTGGGCCGAACACACTCGGGAAGTTGCGCACTGACTGATCGGGGTTTCCCACATACCGCACATACCGACCTAGGTATGAAACCAAAGAAATCCGGGGTGAAATATATAAAGCGATGTAAAGCGGTCAAACCAGGAAGCCTCCCGGAACCTGAAGTGGATTCTGCGCGCCCTACAGTTGCTTCGGGAGGTTGACTTCGATTTCCATGACGATGAATTCCATGCGGGTTTGATGGTTTGCCTGGAAGGCTGAGTTCCACAGCCTTGCCGCTGCAGAGAAAACGTGCAGGGCGCTGTGCAATCACTGTGACACAACCCTTGCGAGTGGTGCGTGGCTAATGACCAGGCGCGTGGGGGGCGCGTGGGGGCGACCTCGAGAACCCAGGAGCGCGCACTTTGCAAGCCGAAGGCGTTCATACTATCGTAGCAGCCATCCGCAACCACACCTTAAACCTGCTTCATTCGCAATCCCAACTTGCCTGCTACCTGGAATCACGACACAAAGCGCAGTGCCAGCCCTGACACAAAGCGCAGTGCCAGCCGCCTACCACCTCGCCCTTGATGGATGTGCGCCCAGGCGCTGCTGTTGGTGGGGCGCTGTAAAAGAAATGATTGCTTTCGCGAGCGACAGAAAAGGGTTGTTGTGCCACGTGTTGTTAATTTTGTGCATAAGGTGGTTCATGTGGTCTTGCGTTTGCTTTCGTCTTCTGCCCACTACCATCCATTACCTGTTGTTGGGTGTTTCGCAGCTTTTTATGCTTCCGTGTTTCCTGGTTAGGACCTTTCAAAACCCAGCTCTGACCGCAGCAGGAGACAAGCACCCAGGGGTGTCAGCCACACCTTGCGTGGCATGCTGGCCGCAGCAGCTTGCGACGTGAGACGTGTCTATTTGATGGACAACATGTCCGCAAACAAGGGGGACCAACTCAAACCTTAGCTGCGCTTGGTCACTCCAACCATGGTACATGGATGACGCCTCTGGGATAAATCAAGGCCAAAAGGTCATGACAATGACCACTTTGCACTGCCATCCCAACCCCGCAAGCGCCACATTCCCTTTGCTGTTGCAATTTGCCTGCGCATCGACCCAAAGACAAAGGTTTAGAACATCGCTGTCCAGCTGCATGCCAACGCACACAAGCTCTACAGTTGCGCGCTCGGCCCAAAAGTTCAAGCAGAGCGCCAAACGCTGTCAAACGGCAAGGTCGCTGCTACCAAGGCAGCAAACGATCAGCTGCAGCCCACATGGATCGACGAGATCCTGTCGCTTGAATGTGTGGGCGTTTCCTGTTTGATCACGGCCTGCTTCCGATTGGTCACAAGGCATGAGCAGAACCGTTCTTCTTGTCCAGGCCCAAATCCATTTTCAGCGGTTCGGATCAGTACCAGGTAATGCTGACAATCGCCCTCACGCAGGCATGGTGTGCCAAGACGGAACCAAACAAAAACTCCAAAAACAGCGGCGAGTGGCAGATCCGGATGAGATTGGCAGATGTGGGTCATCATGATGCATCATGTGGGTCAAGAGCACGACCGCCCTGGCGTCGATCTGGTCAATCAGACCGCTGGATCAGGACCGGCGCTTTTGACATGAGTTCGCTTCGGCCCTGGGAGTTGTTGGGCCGCTGTCTGTGGGCTTGGTGTCGCCTTGGTTAAAGCATGTTAAAGCAGTGTTTTGGTCAACGGCGGGCGTGGCCTTTGGGAGCGTTTGGGAAAGAAAATAACATGAGCATGAGTTCCAACTCCAAGACATGTTTGCAATCATGAAAACACATATAACATATAACAACCATTGTAAGTACTGAACAAACGAGCAGGTGCATGTTGGAACATCTTAAGTCTTAAGACCATGTTACCACCAGGTGGTTTTGGCATGTAGCACCCTCCGGCAGCACGATCCAACGGTGGGCGCATCGACGGGGGCCACGGCGCAGGACAGCCGTTGCGTGGCGCAGGAGACGCAGGGCGAGTTGTCACGGCTCTTTCTTCGGGTTCATGATGTTGTGCATATCCAACCAACACATAAGTTGAATATAGTTGAATACATGACGATTCGCGGATGATACGTCATACCAAACCGCCGAACCGCCAAACCGCTGCGCCAACTCTCGTTGGATCCAACGCCGCTCGGAGGACGGTGGCGGTCGTGGCTTCCGAGATCGGGTGGCGTCTCGGATGATCGGAGAGAAAACGGTGGCGGTGTGGGACGCCAAAGAGTTGCTCTGTAAAACCAAAGTCAAGCTGTTTTGCACAAAGAGTTCTGCCAAGAAAAGCCAGCATGCCATTGTATGCAAGAGTTTGGGTGCGCTTTGGGTGCATGTTTCAACATGTTCGCTATGATGATGTTCGCTTGTCCTGGACGTCCTTGAGGCAAGGGGCGCTCTTCACTTGATGGCAGTGATGGCAGTGACCCGGTGCTGCATTGGCATGCCACGTCTTGGACAGAATACGAGGCTGGGCAGGCATTGGCGCGTCGACTCGGCGTGGCAATCGATGCATTGGCGCCCCAATTGGCCGCGTTTGGGGCGCGCGTCGACTCGGCACGAAGACCCAAACCTCCGACCTCACCGACGCGCCGGTGATGTCTCCACTCTTCCGGACGTGCCAAGGACCGTTAAGGAGAAGCGGCCGGTCCTTCGGTCGTCGGTGCGAGACGGTGGAGGAACGGCCGGAACCTTCGCGCGGCTCAAACACTCGGAACCCGGTGCGAAGCATCCAGCCACGGGCGAGAAGCGAAGCCTGGTGGGCTGGGCGATGGCTCATGGCTCACATGTAGCGCTCACGGGAGGCTCAGGGATGCTCAGGGGCTCAGGGACGCTTCAAAAAACCAGCTGACGGCTTTGGCGCATCGAACCGGCAATTACAGCGCTTGCGAGTTACCCAAGAGAACTGCTTTCACCTCAGAGCCATGCAGCCATCCTCGATGCGAAGAACCATCACCACGAAAACCGCTCAAACTGCGCGCTCCGGACGCTTTTTTGGAGCTCCGGTCGCGTGGTGGCCCGTTCCGGACCCCTCTCGCCAAGCGCCTCCTGGCCGACGAAGCCGGTGGGATGGGTGGAGCCGTTCAGTGAGGAGTCGAACGGTTGTGAAGAGGAGTCGAAAAGGACCAGAAAACGACAACAGGGACGAAGTGGAGGGACAAGGAGGGAGGCCCGTTTGGGGGGGTCCAGAAAGGAGACCGTGGCCACTGAAAAACAGGTCCGGTGAGTGAGCACTCTCCAGCAAAATCGAGATCATCGAGTGACTGAGTGTCATCCCTAGCTCCGGGGATGAGCCATAAAGAACCTCCATTCAACTGAGAATCAGCTCTCATCTCTTGCCATTGATCTCCGTTCTATGATGTACTCATGAAGTCCATTCTGTTGCAGGGGATATCCTCTGGCCATGTCAAATAGCCGATTAGCCGATCCTGATGTAAATGTGTCCAGGGGCACCCATCCCTCCTGCGCTCCAGGTCGCTGAGTCGGACTTCAGAGGTTGATGATGATTGGGGCACTAAGCACTAAGCACTAAGCACTACGCTTATTCCATGGTGCCATGGCGACCGAATTATACATGTTCCAATTCAGTTTTGTTGGACAAAGGGACAAGATGGAAAATACATCAGTACATGGCCGTTCATCCATCAGTCACAAAAATCACTGCTTGCTGCTTACTGCTTTGAATCGAACTTCATGTTATATAATTCCCAGTCACTTTCCCAGTCCTCTTCCAAGTGGCCGCCTCCAAAGTTCGAAGAGATCCGGCCGTTCGACGGGTGTCGGATTCATAGACTGGAGCGAGGACACCATTGGACGCCATCAAAACATGTTTGCTTACACTCCTCGAAATAATCTTGGAAGTGGAAACCACCTGTTTGTACAGGAAGGTGGTCATCCAAGGGGCCAGTTTCCACTTCCATTATTATTTCAGGGAGTGTAATACCTCTCAGCCGAGTGCTTCCGGGTGCGACCTCAAGTAAGCATGACTAGAAATTATCATCACACAAGGCTTATACTATGTTGATCCGTTTTGTGTTTCCTTTTTAAAAAATCTGGTGCATGTAGATCTACACGCTGGTTGGCATTCCCCGTCAATCCCCTACCTCCCACAGAGACGATTTGGGAAACATCGCCCATCGAAGTCACCAAAGCCTCCTTGGAGGTTGGCTCCAAAGCCTTTGCACACCCCAACGGAGGCTGTGACGGTGGGTGCCTTTTCTTGCCAAAAGTACGTCCGCAAAGGATATTCAACACATGATCATGCCACTGGTTTGCTCAGCTGGCTTGCTGCTTCGGAAGAAGAAGCCTCCTCCACATCTGTAATCCAGGATACCTCAACAGAATCGAAAAAGGTGCTCACTGCCTCTTACTGGGGACTATGAACCTATTCCATCCCTTGAACGTCGTTCTCTTCTCTGGCTGCGGCCTCTTTGGGAGCCATAGGATTCCAGCTTCCCCTCCTGCGGAAAAGACCCAAGATGGATCGGTGAAGGTTGATTGATTCTTGAGCGGATTCGGGAAGTCCCGTGACGTCACGATAGTAAGTACAGGAACCTGACAAAGTCATCCCTTATAGTCCCCCCTTGCCACCATTTCAATGCCAAATCACCATGGCAACGCTGCAAATCCCAGAAGTCATTGTCTTTTGTCTGTACTTCACGGAATTCACTTGTTCATTCCTCCCGCCCGCTTTTTAACCCAACACCGACGCCGACTCCATCTCCCAGGTGTCGACCGCCAAAGAGACAGAGAGAGAGAGAGAGAGACAAAGAGAGAGAGAGAGAGGAGGGAGGGAGAGAGAGAGAGAGAGAGAGAATCGGACGACGGGTACGGTGTCTCCCAAAAAGAGGGTACTATCTGATCTACTCCGAACCTTTGCTCAAAGTATCTCAAAGTCGTTTTACTTTCGGTTGGGAGGCCATCGCTATTACTTTTACTTTTCTGCAGTTTCCAAAAGAACTTTTAAAGAGACTGGAGATCCAGGCGCCAGCTTCGCATATCGACAGATCTGCCCGGCAAAGATTCAGCTTCGAAACTGCGACGTAAGAGAAACTTGGGTGTCAAGACCCGCAAAAGGGCACCAGCGAAGTTCCTCACCTACTTCGGCGCTTGGACAATTCCGACTTCGGCGGTCCCATGGTCCCATTGTGGTCCGGGGTCTTTATCATCCTCCAAGAGCTCACAAAAGCTTCTTGCAACGCTCCTTGGATGTTCGGAGGTTCGAGCGGGTCGGCTGGGTCGCTACCGGCAGATTGGGGACGATGCAGGAGTTCATGAAGTTGACCGGTCACTTGCATGGGAGAATACAGGTGACAATGTAGGACTTGGAGAATCTTGGAAGGGTATCTCATCTCACTTTATTTGCTCAAGAGAAACACCTGGAACAACTGCAGCCAGCCAACGGTCAAAGGGCCCTTTGGTGTTTGATAGGAACCATTCACCGCCCAAGATACCTGGGCATGGGTTGGAGGTCTCTCATGACATTCTTTTGTTCGAGCGGGAATTCTCATGTTCGACTCCAAAGTTCAAAGGTGACGGCCCCAATCGAGGCTAGGCCAAATGCCACGAGGAACTCAGCATGGCCCAGCCAGTCCATTCATGTCCATTCCAGTTTGCCCGAGAGCTGAGTCCTTGGCAATTCTTGGACCAACGTTCTTCCGGCCCAAACCCAACCTTGTTCCCCCTTTCGTAGGCGAATCGAGGCGTTTAGCCCAAGGGAGTCCGCCCACAAAACCAACGAAACCGGAAGCTCCAAGCTCCTTTCTGCAGCGAGGGGCTTCACTGGATGATTCAAATGGCTGGGACTTTTGATGAGGTTCGCCTCATGTCCCACATCGGCTCGCTCCGTCTCGGTGCGAGCGAAAGGGTTTCTATATTTTTCGGTCACAGAAATCGAGTGACGCCTACGAGGTCCAAGAAGGGGTGACTCCTCAGTTGCAAATGTTTTGGACATCGTTTCTATCTCTTCTGGATGGATCAAAAGAAATTTTTGGACTGTGTTTGATCCCCAAAACAAGGCTTGGAAAAGCTCTATGTATATAAACCACAAGCTAGGAACTGAGCGAAGGGTCCTGGCACAAATGTGGTAACTAAGGATTGAATTTTGTCGGGGAAACCAACAGGACAGAGTCGGACAGAGTGACAAAATGATTGAGACCTATACTCGATTCACCAGAGGCATCCAGAGGCTACATCTGGAGCGATTGCTGGAGCCTTTTCAAGACATTGAAGATAGAACAGGAAGCAAACCATCGTGGCCATGCCACACCAGTCTCTTTTCTGACCACACCAGTCTCGATATAGCGCATGCAGCTGCTTGATGCGCATCCGTTCGTAGACATGCTGTGCCCTGAAAGTGGAACAAACGTCACTGTCCTTGCTCCGAACGTAGAAATGCCCTTTGTTACGAACGAAGCGATGCTCTTTGTTCCGAGTGGACTAGCGTCCTCTTGTTACTAGTAAGCCCTCGCAAGCTCGGATCCAGGCCAGCAAGAGGTGCTTCAGAGTGTCCGTGAGATCACCCTTCCGCACCTGGAGGGACACCCGAGTCCGACGTCTTCCAGCGGGGAAGTGTGGTGGTATATAAATATAACGCGAGGCAGCGTGCGCTGTGGTGGATGAAGTCTATGCATGGCCGAAACGGGACATGTGTGTGTGTGTGTGTCAACCCCTGGGCCAAGGGTTTCCTACCGCCACTTCCACCCAGGGGGCCACAGCTCCATTCATCAGTCTGTGGCCAACGAAGCTACTGATGTTTGGAGAGGATATGAACCTGGGACGCCAGGTTCACGTACCTGCGACAGGTTTGAACTGTTGCCCACGCTGTTCCAATCTCTCTTGTTTGTTTCCATGGTGGTTCCACGATACCTCCCCTAAACATTTTCCCACCGCTGAACTGCAGCCGCGCGCTGACCGCTTGCGAGTGCATTTCAACAGGATGTTCAACAATACTTTGTTGCGGACTCATGCACCTTGCCGTTCCTTCACCTTCCTTCTCAACGTGGGAACAGAGTTAACTGAATACAATTGTCAGAGTGTGTTTCGCTCAGCCGTCCCACTCGGGTGCTGAGTGTGATCCCCGTCATTGGGGCGCTGTTTCATCGTAAAAGCACTAACTGACCTTACCACTTTTCACAGGAATTCCACCGGAAGTCACCGACACAACCTTTGAATCAACTGCCACAACGGCTGCCGAGCCTCACCACGGGAACTGCTTCTCCACCGTTTCAGTGATCGTTTCAGTGATCGTTTTAGTTGTCTGCAATTTTTTGAATTTTTGAATTTTGCATTCTTGACATGTCTTTTCTGCATGAAGAACTCAAGCTAGCTGACCTGAGCTTCCGGAGTTAATTCGATATGCATGACCACAACACCACAGTACATACTGCATGAAGTCAGGGATTCCACCACTGCCGGGAGCCAGCGCTTGGCTCTGTCAGGCCTTCAATCCAGACTTCACACCATTCGCAAATACACATTTCCACCCTCCAG